GTATGATGGTGTGGAAGTCGTACCCATTTAAAATGTGTTGGTAGTCCTTAGTTGTTGGTCGCTCCTCCTTGGATCTTGTAGTAGTGGTGGCATAGATAGAAAATAGATAAAATTGGCAATGTACCATTCCATGTATTCTTATATGTGACACAATGGGCCTTGCATTAGATGACCCGTTATTGTTAGCTTACGTCTGTTGTTTCATATCTCGATCCATTGAGCATGTTTTGTAATCCAGTTTTCATCCTGTCTTTCTCTCATGTCAATTTTGTGGAGGTCATTCAAATTATTAGGTGGAGAAGGGACTTCTTGGATTAGATGAAACTGTAATTTGACTATATCTGTTTGGTGTCATTCAACAATTGCAAAACAAAGGATGACAGTACATGAAGTTCACAGTTGGACATCTCTATATGCTTTCATGGGTATTGATGTCTGCAAGTCTTGATATGGCGTCCATAAAAACTACAAATATATTTAACTTTGTTACTTAAGATGATGTATAAAAGATAAGAAAATAAATATGAAAAGTTACCTGATTAGCTTGAATGTAATCAAACATTAATCTGTACCCCACAACATTATTGTGAGGTTTATTTCGAAAGTTTAGTACTCTACCCCCGCTCTATCTGCACACGAGAGGGTATATTGATAGATTACTAGAAATTGACACAATATATGGCATGCGATATCATACCCAGGACATTAATAGTGATGAGCAACCACCCATTGTTTTGCTACCAACTTTCGTAACTCTGTACATTTCCCTGTACAACATAGCTAAACAAGCAAAACCCCAACTATACCATCTTGTTCTTCTAAGATTAGTTAATAAAGCTAAATACATAAGATGTACTTTATTGCCTATTTTGTCAGGCATCAAAACACCTCCAATTAAACCTAGTATATAAGCCCTACAATGGACGTGAACTTCTTCTTCAGATGGTTGTTCTGGTAATGACAACATGTTGTCTCTCAGCCACTTTAGTTTTAGCATAGAGTCAATAAGTGAGTCTCTCTTGACTGGCACGATACCCAGATATGTGTCACACATTTCCTCCCATCAAACATTGTTGGACCAATGACTGGTAAACCATCAACTCTTAGCCCGAGTTGAAGTGCAACATCCTCCAGGGTTATGGTGCACTTCCCTGTTGAAAAATGGAATGTGTGAGTTTCAAGTCCCCACCTCTCGACCAAAGTTGTTATCAATGCGTGATCCACCTTAAGATGTCTTAGCTTTGCTACTCCAGCAAAATCAAGTTGTTCAAGTATAGGAACAATTAGAGGACTGAGTTCTGACATTGAATGACAGAAAGATGAAATCATGTTATAAGTTTCCTGCAGTTATTAATAAATTAATAACATTATATATAGAATAATATATTTACATATTCAGTTAATAATGCTAATGTGTAAAACTTACCGTTCTTCCAATGAAGGCGGACCTGTGTTCGTTTTGCTTCCAAAACAACATTTTTAGTAATGGGAGCAAAGACAGAGAGAAACGAAGAACAAAGATGGATGCAAGTTTAAATGAAAACATGTGGCCTTGGATGAACATATTTATAGATAAACAGAGAAGTCACTATCTCTTGGCGTGACTGAGATGTCACTATCTCTTGGCATGCGTGAATGGAGAAGTCACCATCAATCGTAAAATGTGGTAAAGCATTGAATGATTGATAATCCAACGTTACCATGAGTTTGGCCATGTCCTTGATCGTGAAATGGTAGTGTATCCGCCTGAAATACTATTTATTGGCCAACGTTTCCTAACAAAAGAACAAGTGCAAGACGCCATAGATAAATTTCACATTGTCAATCATTGCACTTACAAGGTGAAAATGTCAAGTACAACTAGGCTTGTCGTGGAATGCGTTCACAACGACTGTGCCTAGAGATGTCACGCTATATTGCGCGCCAAAGAGTAACACTGGGAAATAATGAAGCTTGAAGGATGCCACACATGTGCTTCTCCACTCATTTCACAAGATCACAACAAGTTGGGATCACGAATGATTTCTCAAAGCATTCGTGAAATTATTGAGACTGATCCATCCACACTCATCTCAATCATCTTAGCCCATATAAAGTCCACAATGGGTTATACAATCAGCTATAGAAATTGATGGTTAGGGAAACAATATGCCATTGAGAATATCTTCAGAAATTGGGAGGAGTCATACCATAAGTTAACTAAACAGTTGCTTGCAATGCAACTGTATGTTCCGGGCTTCATATGGAAATTGAGTACACAACCGGCATACAACGGTAGCTTGCTTGACGAGGGGAATGTGTTCTTCAAGAGGTTGTTTTGGACCTTCAAGGCATGCATTGGTGGTTTTTCCTTCTGCAAACCAATTGTTCAAGTGGATGGTACATTTTTGACTGGCAAATACAAAGGGACTTTATTAGTGGCAGTTGCACAAGACAGCAGCAACAACATAATTCCCATTGCTTTTGCTGTGGTTGAAGGTGAAACTAGCGATGCATGGTTCTTTTTTTTTATAAACTTAAGGAGGTACGTAACCCCGCAAGAGGGGTTGTGCCTCATTTCGGATCGTCACGAGGCCATAAGAAGTGCATACTCCAGAAATGGAAGTGGTTGGAAAGAAAACAATAATGTCTATGTCTATTGCATTAGACACATTGCACAAAACTTCATATGACGATTCAAAAATACTGCACTGAAGAAAGATATCGTCAATATGGGTAATTTTAATTTTTTACATACTTTATATTATCATTAATATTTTATACAATTATTTAGCTAGTTATATTAATTTAATTTGTAATCTTGTTTCCGGCATATGAGATGACTAAAGCGAGATTCTTTTACTATTACAATATAGTAAAAGATAATAATCCTGAAGCTGCACAATGGTTGGACAACATCTCAAGGGAAAAATGGACACTGACATGGGACAACGGATGACGCTGGAGACACATGACAACAAACCTAGCGGAGTCAATCAATTCGGTCTTGAAGGAAACTAGAAACTTACCAATTTGCTCTATGGTCATGGCAACATACACCTATTGCAATAAGTTCTTCATTGATAGAAGCAAAGAAGTAGATGCAATGATTAATGTTGGACATATGTACTCGGAGGTTGCAACTAAAGCAATTCAAGATGTACAGTCAAAGGCAAACACTCATAGAGTCATCACCTTTGACAGAACAAACACTAGATTTTTAGTCGAAGAAACGCAACATCCGACAGAAATTTGACTCGTAGGAAGATTTACAATACGGTTAGATGAAATGTGATATGACTGTGACAAGTTTCAAAAAGTTCACATCTCATGCTCGCATGTACTTGCTTCATGCTTACACGCACACCACAAAGGTCAATTTGATATCTACATATCTTCTGTGTATACCTTACAACAAATTTCTAAGGTATACGAAGGTCAATTTGGTGAACTTAAACACGAAGACTATTGGCCATCTTACATAGACCTAATTTTGTGTTCAAATCTAGAACTGAAAAGAACTTCAAAGGGTCGACCCAAGTCTAATAAGATAAGAACAGAGATGGACATTAGATAACAACAAAGTCGAGCAAAAAATTATTCTTATTATCATACCTATGGTCACACAAGGAAGACATGTCCAAACATTGCTCAAGCTACTAATTCCCGCTATTGATTTTTATTGTTGTTATTATTTTAAAATTTTCTTAATGTCATTTTTAATTTTATGAATGTCATTGCAACTTTTAAATTTTTAATATTTGTAATTTATATTAAATATATAATTATATATATAATATATCTACATAATATTATTTTATTATATTTATTAATATTAATAACATTTTTTAAAATAAATAATTATGTATAAACTTTAATAAATATTAATATCTCAAAATAAATAAATAAACTGGTTATTATTTAATACTTTATTTATTTTATAAATATATAATATTAAATAAATTTTTATTATAATTTTTAATACAAATTTAAATTTAAATAAATTGTTGTTGTCATTTTTATTATTTTTAAATATAATATTAAATAACCAAAAATATAATTTTAATATTATTTTCAAAAAAAATTATTAAATAATATAATAAGAAAAATAAAAATATTATTTATTATCTTAAATATGTCAAATAAATTTTAATAAACATTTAAAATTAATATAGTATGTTATTTATTTTAAAATAATATAAAAATTTAAACATAATTCAAATAATAAAACTTATTTTATTAAAATAATATAAAAATATTTATAAATATTTATTAAAATAATTTATTATAAATATTTATTTTAACAAAATATTACTATATAAATATATAAATATAATTAAAATAATAATATTTATATTTTAATATAAAAAAAAAACCAAAAATTATCTCAGAATTCGATTCCCATTCTAGTATTTAAATTTTTTTTTTTGTAATATTATGGTAAAAAAGTCACCATTTGGTCAATAAGAATTAATTCTTTATCTTAAATATTTCTTTATATATTATCTTCTACTTTGTTAAATGCATACTTAATTAAGAGGTTACAGTGACGTGAAACTTCAACCATTGTAAAGTCTAACAAAACAAAAATAGTGAAAACAAAATACGAAAATAAAACAGATAATTTAATTATTATTTTGAGGAGAGATGAGGAAGAGTTAAAAAGAAAAGAAGATGGAATTGTCACCAAATAGTTTCTATTTATTAAATAACAATTTTTAACCATTTTTGTCTTAATACAAAGTGAAATGATATTGTTGAAATTTCATATAGTATGTTTGGATAGAGACGTATCCCAGGGAAGTACGTAGATTCAAATTAAAATCAAATAAATCATTATAACAGATAATTTGGCTTCAGCTCATCCAAAAAATACGCAGCAAAAATGAAGTAGAAAACAAGTCGTATTACACATAATGTAATCTCTACATTTACGAAAAATATAAAAATGCAACAAATCTGTGAATATGATTGCAAGGGCTAAGACTTGTTTTCTTTTCCTTTCTAAATTCCTTTTTGGCTCTGTTCTTGAACTCCAGACCTTGATGTTAGTCTACCTTATTGATCCACTGCGTATGGATGAAACCTTGCAAATGCCAGATGATGTGGTGAGTGGCACATTTTTGTAGCATGCCACTAGTTCCTCATTAGTGTGCAGATCGACTTGCAATGTCTCCCAAACTTTCTTTTTTGGGTTCAAGAGTTCATCAGGATTGCCTTCATAACCTGGGAAAGTAATTCTTTCTCCAACTTGAGCAGAACTGGGAGGCTCAACCAACTCAACCTGGAGGGTGCACAGTAACCAGATACTTAGTATTCTACTCCTCTACCACCACAGTCAAAGAAGCTCTTGAAAGGAAGACACAAAATTAACAAAAGAAAAAGATTTTCTCAACAAAATAAAAAATATAAGCGCTGAGCTTCACAGGGAAGAGGTAGCCCCATCCCTTCCTCCAAAATTTTTTTCTCTTAATTGATCCATATAACTTTAAGGTTACAATATACATTTAATCCCTCTAGTTGTGACACTTATTTACAAATTTATTTTATGTATTTTTAAAAAACTACAATTCTTATTTTAATCTTTATACGAGAGTTTTGTTAATTTGTTATATTTTGGTCCCTACTATTATGACACCGTTAAAAAAAATATTAAAAATGTATAATAACTTATAAAAACAGTGTTGTAATGGTAGGACCAAAACATAACAAAACATTCAGAAAGACACTAAAAGCCTAAGTTTCTAAGATATTAAAACTAATTCTTAGACGAGTGTTAATCATAAAGATTAAATGTATACTTTGAACCTAATTTTTATGTATAGCTCTTTCTAAAAACAAATTATTATACATACAAATATGTAAACTGCTTTGGACCCTCTAAATATTTGGTCAAGTACTGGTGCGCTGTCCACACATTGCCTTATGTTGCAATAAGAATGCGCACATTCTATGCATCTATCTCATTGTCCACACTCACAAGATAGGGGAAATTCTGGCAGAAAAGGACATCTCAGTACTTCGAGACAACTAAAGTAATGGCAACCTAATTCCCAGGCCTCCTAACCTTTCAAGGAGCTCAGCTTAAAACTTTTATCTTTGAAACCAATTGTAAAGAATCAGAAGGGAGAAGTTCAATGATTAATTGTTAATGTTTGAGATGAAAAAGGCACACTGCAAATTATGAAAACAACGACATAAAATATTGGAGAACTCAGTTGTCTTGCAATAAGCACTCAACATGGGTGGATCGTACTACCTTATAATCATATATGCTCAAAACTTACGTGGGAGATCCTAATATAACTCAATAACATTAACTATACTAACAAGATAGTAACAAAGTACACTGTAAATTAAAATGCTAATAAAACAGATCGACACCCCCTGTTGTACAGGTGTTGTGTTTTTCCATACCTTGGTGTGATCATCATTGGAAGCAGCAAGAACCATCGCTTGGGATTTAATGCCCCTCATGGTTGCTGGCTTTAGGTTGCAAAGAACACAGACCTTTCGATTCTGGAGAAAGATATTAGCATTACTTAACACCACCAGTAAAAATAAGTCCAAAACTTGTTATATCAACAGAAAATGGATGTTCAGATTAGAAAAAACACCTGCATTTCATCAAGCGGTATGTATTTGACAAGCCCACTAACAACAGTTCTGGTTTGGTTTTCACCCACATCAATCTCTTCCACATATAGTGAATCTGCATCAGGATGCTTTTGAGCTTTTTTTATGAGTCCAACCCGTATATCAAGCCTTGTGATGGAAATATCCAGTTCAGCAGCCTTGGTTTTGGCTTCATTTGATGATTTTGATGATGATTTTTTCTTTCCAGTGCTATCTATTGCAAACAATAGCCCTAATCTGGGTAAGCAATCTTGAACAGTTTTGTTATCTAACGGAGAAAAAAAAATGCAATGCAAAAATAGAAGACAACTATGATCAAACTTAAAGCCTAAACAAGGGTTCAACGAATCTCAGTGTTAATAGTTAATAACAATCAAGCCTGAAGCTGTTAAGCTTACTTCTAATTTAACAGATAATGGAAGTGTGCAGTATCATTATATAAACAGTATCTTTTCAGGTAAAGTGCAATTAAGGAAAACAATATAAAAAATTCACAATACTAAATACTATCCAGGTTTTGGAGATCTCAGAAAAACTTTGAAAGATTCATAAATTATTAAAAGACTAGGAATCCGCTTTTGCCTACCCAAAATGAATGAAATATTTCTAATGATTGCTATAATAGAATGTTATAATCAAATCCTCCACCAGACCCCACTCAGAATCCTTCTAGTCCCTATCACATTCACCCTAGTGAAAGTTCCTCATCAATCATTGTTGCTCCACCCTTGTTGGCAACAATTATCATTTATATTTTAGTCATTTCGCATGGCCCTTGTCTCCAAAAGCAAAATGGGATTCCTGAATGGTTCCATTCCAGCCCTTGTTGCCACAGACCCATTATTCTCTCACTAGGAACGATGCAACACACTCATCATGTCATGGTTATTGAACTTCCTGTCACCTTCCATAGCTCAAAGTGTGATCTACCTTGACAAAGCTATCGACATCTGGACCAATCTTTGTGAACGTTTTTCCTAAAACGATTTACTCCGAATTGCAGAACCTCAAGAAGAAGTCTATACCTTCAAACAGGACACCCGCAATGTCACTGATTACTTTACTAGTTTAAAAGCCTTGTGAGCAATGTTGTTAAAATCGAGATTAAAATAACGAGATCGTACGATTTTATGATCCTAAACCCCCTCCACGATCTTAATCAGATTTGAGATCGCTAATATGGAAGATCGGATGAGATCCCAATCTTTTCTCTCAGGATCGCAAGATCAGCGATCTGATCACAGGCGCAGGTTTTTTGGGTAGGTTTTTGGGTTGGGCTCTGGAATTGGGTTTCCGGGTCAGGTTTTTCTGACCCAGTTTTAAAAAACCTATCTAGGTTATTTTTCCCCAAATTTTTTCCCACTCTCTCTTCTTCTCTCGTCTGTGCGCAACTGATTCTCTCTTCCGACACCCATTCTCTCTTGTTCTCTCTTCTGCGACACCCATCCTTCCATTTTCCCTCTCTTCTGTGACTCCCATTGTTCCATTTCCTCTACATTTAACCTTGCCACCATTGGAGAACTTCTCGACACCCAATCTCTCATCTTCTCTCTATTTGAGGTCTGATTTTACAACGTCTACACTGTAGATTTCAAGTTTGATTGTTTGGTTTTTGTTGGTATTTGCAGTTTTGATTTCTTCTTCCCATTGGTTTTGTGTTGTTTGGTGGCTGGTTCTACGTGGGTGAGGCTATCTCAATTTTGTGTGGGTGAATTTGTGGGGTCTCAGTTCTACATTTCCCCTCTAATTTTGTTATTTTCATTACTGCATCGCGGATAATATAAGTAAGAAAGTTGGTGGCTATGGAAAAGGAAAGGGAATTCAATTAAGTGGAGCTGTAGGGAGTGGTATTGTTGTGGAAGTGGAAGTTTAAGATCAAAATCAAACAATACTGCTAGAATAAGAAATGATATGGTGTGGAACTATGACATTTTTATTTTTGGAGATGATAGACGAATCAAATGCAAGCATTGTGAGAATGAATATATATTGGAAGAGTTTATCGTTTCAAACATCATTTGGCAGGAACAAAACAAAATGTTAGAGCTTGCATGACTGTCCCTGATGATGTTCAAAAACAAATGTTAAACATTGTTGTTAAATTGAAAGAAAAATTTATAAAAAAAACAAATTATGTGATTTAGATGTTAATTTATTTATGTATGTTATTTTTTATGCTTATATATATGTTTAAGTATGGTTTTACATGTTTGGTAGGATCTTACGATCTATTTTATGATCCCACGATTTACGATTTCTTACCCCTCTCCCAATCTTAGGTAAGATCCCGATCTTAACAACATTGCTTGTGAGAAGAACTGGATAATTTTCACCCCATGACTACTTGCGAATGCTTTGCCAAAACGTATTATACATAGGACTTCATCATTAGGTTCCTTAAAGGTCTTGATGATCGTTTTGCAGTGGTTCGGTCACAGGTGCTCCTTACAGACCCTCTACTCTTCGTGAATCAGATTTTTCCCATGGTCATTCAACACGAACATCAACAACCCTATCCCGTGTTTCCCGCTAATAAGCATAACTCGTTTGCCAATGCTGCCATGGACAGAGCTAGAAGTAGCACAAACAAAGCAAACACCACCAAAAAAAGTGTGGTTATTGTTATTGTCTCGGCCACACAATGGATATTTGCTATAACAAGCATGTTTATCTACCAGGTCATCCTTGTTATTTAGACAGGCCAAAGTTTAATCCTCAAACTAACTCCTTAGCTAGTAGTGCTTCTTACAAGAGAAGGAAAACAATGAGGGTTTCACTCAAGGTTCCGGGCTTAATCTCACTAAGGCCCAATTTCAACATTTAATTAGTCTTCTCCAACAAACTCCTCCTTCTTGTCGTTTGGGCCCAATAGACAACAAGCAGCCCAAAAGTGTCACTCTCTCTCTAAAGAGCCCAATCCCTTCACCTGGTTCAAACTTGGGGATCCCTTTTATTTCTTGTGCCACCACACACTTCCTTTCTCACACACATGCACTCTCTTTTATTTCTTCACGCATCACCCCCTGGATTGTAGATTTAGGGCTACAGACTAAATTGCATCCAATCTTTCTTTATTTTAAGTCTATATCAAAATAAAACCTATTAGAATAAACTTACCCAATGGTGCCTCTGTCACATCAAATTTTTCTAGAATTGTACAATTTTCTCCTTCCTTTGTCATACATAATGTTCTTTATGTTCCTGGCTTTTCTTTCAACCTTTTGTCTATTTCCAAATTTATTTCTAATATTTGTTATAAACTTATTTTTTCTAATGATTCTTGCATAGTACAGGATGTGAACTCCTTGATAATGATTGGTTTGGCTAAACTACAAGGTCTCTACCACTTGGTAATCAGCAATCAGCAAGGAACCTCAAATTTTACCCAATGTTCCACCCTTTGTCAACTCCTCCACAACAAGTCCTATCACCATGAACAACATTTGGCATTTTAGATTAGGACATTTGTCTGGAAAACGTCTTAATGTTTTAGATGAAAATTTCCTTTTATTTCCAACAAATTCAATGAAACTTGTGATGTTTGTCATTTGGCTAAACAAAGGAATTGTCTTATTCTTCTAATAATAGTAGAGCTTCCAAAATATTTGATTTAATTCACATGGACATATAGGGACCCTTTTCTAAAGTTTCCATTCATGGTCACAAATATTTTCTAACCATCGTTGATAATTATAGTAAATATACTTAAGTTGTTCTATTAAAATCAAATGCAGAAGTCCAATTGAATGTTCAAAATTTTGTTGCTCTAGTTGAAAATCAATTTGAATCAAAGGTTAAATGTATTAGATCAGACAATGGTCCAGAATTTTTCTTAAAAGATTTTTTTTTCATCAAAAGGAATTTTGCACCAAACAAGTTGTGTTGCCACTCTACAACAAAATGCAAGAGTTGAAAGAAAACACCAACACATTCTCAATGTTGCAAGAACACTCATTTTTCAATCACGTGTCAACTCATTTTTGGCCCTATGCCATCAAACCAATGTTATTAATGGCGGATGGCGGTTCATGGCGGAAACTCAAAAAACTGCCATAAAGTTATGGCGGCCGCCATATGGCAGATTTATGGCGGATGTAATAAAATATATAAAAAAATACTATAGGTCACAGAAAATAATAGAAAATAATTAACTAAAAATATATGTAACATAACCTTCAATCTAAAGTATAATTAAATACAAAATATGTAATTATCAAATGTCAAGTTAACAATAAAAATAAAGATTATCAATTTAGTCTTCTTCTTCAACTCCAACATAATCATCCTCTTTCTCATCCACCAAGGCATATCCCTCCTCTTCTTCTCCTTCAGATTGTGGAAGATTAAATTCTAATTCATCTTCTGTTTCTTCCGACATTTCTTCATCTTCTAATTCTTCATCATCATCTTCAAGAACCATTTTCTCTTTTCCTTTTGTTGTTGAACATGCCTTAATCTTGGAAACTTTTGCAGCTTTGATAGTGATACCACTTGATGGATTCTTTCTTTTCTTAGAATGACGCCTAGTATATGTTGTAGGCTCTCCAATTCCAGAAGCTTCATAAACAGTTGCCCAATTTAAAGTGTTGTCACCATAAAAAACTAAGTCATTTCCAGCATCCTCATCTAGAGCATCATCATCCATTTCTCCAACCAACCACTCATTACACTCATCAATATCATTGAGTGTAATTGAATCAATTACATCTTTAAGATTGTAACGTTCTATGAGTTGTTGGTTGTATTTCACATAAACCAAGTCATGTAATTTTTTGTGATCAAGCCATTTCTCTTCTTTGAATGAATCTGTAACGTGAGTTTAATTATAAGAATATTAATTAGTTTCTCTCTAATTTATAAAAGAAAATAGTAGGCTCGAGAGATAAAAAATTACTTGCTCAAAAACACTCCAGTTGCGTTCACATCCGGATGCACTACATGTCAAGCTCAAAATTTTGATAGCTAGTTGCTGCAAATGTGGAGCTGAATGTCCATACATTCTCCACCATTGAGCTATAAAATGAAAGACAAATTATAACTCTGAAGATGAAGTATAACCTTAAAATTAAAATATTGAAAAATTTGATGAATTACCGGGAGCAATGCTTTTTCTTTGTGATTTTGCAAAGTCGGACCCAAAGAGACCACCACCGCTCTTGTAAATTGGTAATTCAAGTAGTATACTTTGTTGCACATCCCGACTTGGCACCAACCTCTTGATACAATCATACAACCCATCTGTAACTTCCAAATCAAATTCAATTTGAGGGTTGTCATAGTAAAATTCCGGGTTTAAAATGTGACCAGCTGCATGTAATGGACAGTGAAGCTGACAAGTCCATCTGTTATCAATGATTGCTAACACATCTTTGTATTTACTTTCATTATTTTTGAATGACTTCATGATAGCTTCTTTACTTTTCTCCATTGCTTCATAAATATACCCCATAGCTGGTCTTCTTTCTCCATCAACCAAACATAACACCCGGACAAGAGGAGCCATGATTTTCAAAGTATACACCACATTATTCCAAAATACAGGATTTAATAGAATTTTTGTTGCTTGCTTCCCTTTAGCTTCCTTTGATATCTTGTTTTTACACCATTCCTCAGAAGTAAACATCTTTCTAAGATTTTCTTTTTCTTGGTGAAGTCTTTCTAATGATAGAAAAGAAGTTGCAAATCGAGTAACTGCATGTCTTACCAATTCCCTCTTGTTTGTAAAATTTCTCAACAAACTCAAGGTACTTGAATGACTGTAGATAAAGCCAACAACCGATATTCCCCTTTGAATTGTCTTCTTTATCAAAGGAAGCTTTCCAATATCTTCAAGCATAAGATCTATGCAATGAGCTGCACAAGGAGTCCAATAAAGATGTGGTCTTTTCGCTTCTAACATCTTACCAGCCAAGACATAATTGCTTCCATTATCCGTTATCACTTGCACAACTTTATCTTCTCCAATCTCTTCCACAAGAGCATCAAGCATCTCAAATAATTTTTCACCGGTCTTCACAAAATTAGATCCATCATTAGACCTCACAAACATAGTACCAGTAGGAGAGTTGACCAAAAAATTAATCAAGCATCTTTGCTTGCGATCGGTCCATGCATCTGACATTATGGAACAGCCATGTTTGCTCCATTGCTCTTTATGATCTTTCATGAGGGAATCAGTATATTCTAGCTCTTTCTTTAGAAGTGGAACTCGAATATCATGATAACTTGGAGCTGGTAAATTTGGACCGAAAGCACCAACAACTGTAAGCATTTCTTGAAAGCTCTTCATTTTAATGAGGTTAAAGGAAAGGCCAGCTTGATACCAAAATCGAGCTATGTATTGATGGACCCTTGCCTTGGCTTCTTTGTCACATCGTTCTCTTATATTTGTTTGTCTCAATTTTTCCTTTTTTCTTTTCTCAATTGCACTTTCAGGCTTTCTACAAAACAAGTCCATTGGCCCTTTCTGATTTCCAATGGCAACGCTACGGGTTTGGGTATCCTCTTCATCCTCACTTACATCATAGCTTATACCTTCAAAGCTTCTCACATTTGGCATCTCAAAATTATTTTGATTCTTTTTTTCCTTTTGATATGTCTCAATCTCTTTTCTAACTTCTTCCGGACACTTGGGACAAGCTTTCACATTACACTTCTTTCCAATTAAATGTTGTTTCACTCTAGTGATTCCCGCACTCATAACTTTTCCACAAAAATTACATACAATGTTGTTTGTATCTCCATCTTTCACCGAATGAGCATATTTCCATCCCGGGTCAGAACGATTAGAAGTTCTTGAACAATTTGATGAAGACTTATGTTGAGCCATGTTAAGAGTAGCTGAAATAAATAGAATTTTTTTTTGAGGAAAATCAGAGAAAAAACAGAGAAAAATAGAAATGTGGGAGAGGTAAAAATTGAAAGATGGAAAGGGTAAAATTTAAATGGGGGAAATAAAGAAAAAACTGAGAGGAAAAATGAAAAAAAATAGCTACCAGAAAAATGGAGTCGCCGGAGATGGAAGTGCAGTCGCCGGAAATGGAGGTTGGAGTCACCGGAGATGGTGCAGTCGCCGAAAATACAGACCGAAATGCACCCAAACAGAAACACAGAGCCCAAGAAAATGAGATCTCAGCAACGAGATCTCAGAGAAAGCAGTCGCAGAGAGAGAGAGAGAAGTGGTCGCAGAGAGAGAGAGAGAGAGATGGAGGGAGCTCAAAGAGATGAGCAGAGTGGAGAGTGAGATCGCAGAGAGTGCGATTGCAAAGAGAGGGAGAGTGAGATTGTAAGGAGAAGAGAGAGAAAAAACCTGGATTTAGGCAGTTGGATTCTGAGCTGGGTCGGGTCGGGTCGGATTTGGCCCAAAAGTGCAGAAAATCCAATTTTTTTTTAAAAAAAACACCATTTATCACGATTTCCGCCATGGCCGGCCGTTACCGCCATGCTCGTAACGGCCGCCATGGCGCCGCCACGCCATACCGCCATGGCGCCGCCACGCCATACCGCCATGGCGCCGCCATAACGGCCATTTGACAACACTGCATCAAACATGTTGTCTATCTCATTAATTGTGTTCCTTCTCCCGTCATTCAAAATAACACTCCTTATGTGTTGTTGCACAAATAGCCACTAGATTTTTCCATGATCAAATTTTTTGGTTGTTTATGTTATGCATCCACACACACAAAGCGTAAAAAATTTGACCAAGACGTGGTGTGTTCTTAGGTTTTCAAAATGGCACAAAAGGTTATATTATTTTGGATTTGGATACAAAAGAGATTTTATCTCCAAAAATGTGCTTTTTCACGAAATTTTTTTTCCTTTTGCTCCCAACCAAGAGCTCAATCCAGCCTTGTCTTGTCCTAGCCAAACTTGGTCCTCACCAAACACTGATTCCCCTTTAACCATTATCAACCAAGAGCCCAATCAAACATACACCAGCCCAAATACACTATACAGCTCATCATATTCTAGAAGAATGCTAGCTATTTCTGTAATGCAAAAAAAAGGTGAGGTGGCAGAGTGTGCCTTGTGCAGAGTGTATGTTGCGGCTCATTTCTATTGCTGCACAATGTTGTGTTTATTTTGGGCTGGATTGAGCTCTTTATCTGTTAAGCAGAATTAGTTCCTATTATTTCAAGAAGTAATTAATTCGCAATTAATTTATAATTAGTGCAGCAATTTAGGAATTATAGAGTTAGCTTATTTATTATACATTCCGTATATAAAGCAGTCAACTCTTGTATATAATAGTGTATGCAGACATGTAACGATACACTGAGTATTAGTAATATACAAGGATAAAATGGAGAATTGGAATTACAAAAGGTTCGGCCATTCAGTTTATTGTTGACTAGGATTGACTGTCATGTCTTTGTAAAGCAAGTGCTAATTGGGATGTTTAGTGATGCTCTAAGGCCTACAGTTTTAGATATACTTTTCCCCCTCTTCTCCAGGTTCATGCTTTGTGAAAATCATATCACAACAACTCATTTTCTGTCTTTGTTTTTCTTTTTTTTTTAACTCAAAACTATCATTAGAAATGGAAGAGGGGATAGAAACACCTGAAACTTTCGTTTTCTTCAGTTGCTCAGCAACTTTTTCAGCTTCAGCCTCCGCACGAACAACCCTATCAGCTTGACTTCCAGCAAACTTCTTCCTGTAGAACTCCACTTCTTCATCTTTCTGGTCAACAATTTTGAATACATTCAATGCACAGTAAAAGAACAACTCAAATCCCATTAATTTTCAGAGAGCAGCCACTTACCAGTTCCCTGAACAGCGGCTTGGGTGTTCCAATTTTATGACCAGCACTTATGATATCCCAAGGTCTTTTTACCCTATCAACATCTCCTTTGTCATCACAAAGTGAAATGTGTACCTCCGCAGGCAAATTTAGCTGCTTAAATACCTTCAATGCCAGAAAACAGATAAATACCAGTACCAGGAAAGTATTGGAATAAATAACCAAATTGAAACATGGAGCCAAAGTGCAATATTAATATATAGGGAATTTCATTTACCTCAGTAGTGAAAGATGGCATATATGGTTCCAATAAACAAGAAAGAAGATATACAATCCCAACTGCAGTTTTCATAACAAGGGAGCAGAGAGATCGATTTTCCTTGTAAAGGCGCCAGAATTCAGTTTCCTATAAGGTTAATTGAACCAAAAAAAAAAAAAAAAAACAGAAGTTAAAGTCACACACCCATGCATCATGTAACTGGATAAAAAAGGAGACAAGGAGGAGGGGGGGTAAAAATAGAGAATATAACAATTCCAAATTTACCTGCAGATATGCATTTCCCTCACCAGATATGCTCATTGCAATTTTCAATCCTTGCTTTAGTTTAACCTTTACATATTGTAAAAAAAATGTCATCAGACAGTGATAATCATTATGTTTCAAAAGGCAGTGCACTCTAGTGATTACAATTTTCAATATCATGCTATTTCAAAAGGGGGATTGGCTACCTTCTCCATTGCTTCTATGTACTGGTCCAGATATGCAGCAACTTTATCAGTCAATTTTTTTGTCAGATCATGGGAGTCACAACTTACATCATCAGGAACAGAGGGAATAATGGAATCATATCCTTGACCTTTACAAGACAAAGTAATATGTGCATTAAACAACAGGAAAAAGCAGAAAATGAAATAACTTTAATAATGAAGAATGAAATAGGCGTAGAACTTCAGACTTTCCAAAACTCTGATAAAGGACAACTATTTTTCATTAGTTTCAAGATATATAGTCATAGTCTTCATGCATGTAACTTCTAGGGATTTGTAGCAGCTAATTAGTGGACATTAGAGAGAAAAATAACCAAAGAGTTCAACCAACCTGCAGGTTTGGCAATAAAACTCAAAACTCGGTTGATGAAGTTGCCCAAATTATTCAGCAACTCACTATTTAATTTTGCTTGCAGGTCAGGCCATGTAAATAACGTATCTGATACCTACAGTGTATAATCACATAAAAAATATTTAATAAAGGGAGAGAATATAACATCCATAAATGTTTAACAATACAGATAAAATAGCATTGATAAAGTATGTTTAAAATATAATTACCTCGGGCCTATTTGTGAGCAAATAATATCTCCATACTTCAACTGGAACACTGGTATCCTTCACATCATTACCAAATACCCCGATGCCTTTGCTCTTGGAAAACTTCCCTAAAATCCATTTTAAGTAAAATTCAGTTACTTCATATTGTTTAAATGACAATCATTATCACTTTTATAGAAAGTCAGTTGTTTGGCTATAAGCTTCATTTATGCTCAATTTGGATTAACTTCTAGCATATGGAAGTTTTTCAATCAAGATAAGTACTGAATCCTAACATATGAAAAACATCTGGAAGTTTATACATATTCATGGAGAAGTTAGACGAAAAAGTTGAAGTACATAAGTTTATTTTAACATATGAAAAATTTAATTCATTTTATTTTCTTCTACTATAAAGGTTTGTTGAGAAATTTATCATAACTGGCTCTAACTGATGAACCATTTCAAAACAGATTACTAACCTGCTTCATAATTCAAGTATTCGGTAACACTAATAGTCTTCATTAAAGTCCAATTTTCATTTGTTCCAAGTAAAGTAGATGGAAACATCACCTGAAGAATAAATTCCATCAGATTACCAAGAAATGTTTCAATAATAAAACAAAAATACAACCAAATCCATCAAGCAATTCAAGGCTAGTTCTAGTTGTATTTGTTTTGTTTCAGGACCTCACTAAGCAAATAAATGCTAAACCAAGGTTGCAAACAATACAGAGATCCATTGGCTGATCAAGATTTACAAAATACTTAAAGCAGGTCTGGAAATCTTTTTTTATATTTAGAAGAAATAGTTATTTTTTTCTGTATGCTCTCTGAGAATTGAGGAAATTTCAAAAAATAACTTTTGACTCCAAATAAGCTAGTCCAAACTTGCACTTAACAATATGGCAAGCAGAAAGAGCTTCCCAATTGAATAAACTTCATGACATACATCATGATTCATAAAGACTCCAACTTGACACAAATGAAACATTGAATGTAATGGTAGGTTTCTGAACATTACATTTGAGTTCAATATACTTTAGTAATCAAAATATTTCCCTGTTTTTAGTGGAAATATCAAATTTGTAGTTACAAAATGATACTGACATAATAGAGGGTGCAGCAAAAAAAACAGCAAGGTAATGAATAAGTGGCTAGAGCAATTTACACAAAGTCCATGATTGTTAGTAATGATATAAAATGGGACTGGCTGGGATGTAGGCACAACTAAGAAACTGGCTGGCAGTGTGACAGAAGAAAAAATATTTGAAAATAATGTAAAAGTGCACCAATATTATGAATATCAGACTTCCTAGTAATTCTCATCCAGAAAACAAGAAGGAGAACAGGAACAAAGAGATAGATAGGCATGAGAACGTATGCCAGTCCAAAAATTAAAAAAAAAAAAAAGATAATGCTATCTATTAAGTATACAATATTGCCCACCTAGCACAGAAAACTGTTTCAAAAAATAAAATGAAATTAACAGAAGAAATATTTAACTCAGCAGGAGATTCACAGATCAGTGAGGGGAAAATGATAGAAACTAAGATATTGACATAAATTATCCCAAGTAAACATATGAGCACATAATAGCATAAAAAATCCTCAAACTGTATAAAGACAACAACTTACAGTGTGGAATGGCACATTGTCCTTGCCCATAAATTGATACAACTCCACATTCTCAGGGTTTTTCCACCATTTCTCCCAATCCCGTGTGTAGCATGCAGTGATTGAGACATATCCAATAGGTGCATCGAACCAAACATAGAAAACCTTCCAATATCAAGAATATAATTTGTAAAATTAATAAATGAAATTTTTTTTTAGAGATCCAATAGATAAACAAACCTTGTTACTGTATTTTTCATGTGGAACAGGAACCCCCCACTTTAGATCCCGGGTAATACAGCGAGGCTTTAATCCTTCTCTAAGCCATGAATTTGTTGTTTGGATAGCATTCTGACTCCATGCACCAACCACAGACATCTCATTGATGTATTTTTCCAGTCTATCTTTCAATAGGGGCAGCTCAAGAAATAAGTGGTCTGTATCACGAATTCGAGGAGTTTTTTGACAAACCTGTTACAGATGTCAAAAAATCTCACCTAAGTTCCCTTGACTTTCATCTATGCCAAAAATTATAAAATTGTAAACGAACATGTAAATAAACAGGTGCTTCAGAAACCATGATTAAAACAGAAAATATCAGAAAGAAAAACCAAAGAAGGAAACCCAACACAAAGGGAAAACAAAACTTAAGGAATAAAGTTGTGCACTGAAACTGAGATACTAAAAGTTGCAATTTTGGAATCCATTCAATTTAGAAAGATCATCCATCATAATACATGTAATGCTTCCACAAATTGGAATGACACAATCAAGAAATCAATCAGTAAAATTTAGAATAAAGGGAGGGGGGGGGGGTTAATACCTTGCACCTGGGAGTTTTCAATTCTGTTGGATTTAGAAGCTTTCCACACTTCTCACACTGGTCTCCTCGGGCAGAATCATACTCACAGCCAGGAGTTGGGCATGTACCTTCCACAAGTCGATCAGCTAAGAACCTTTGACATGTATCGCAGTAAAGCTGAAATACAATATGCATTTCACTAAGTATAACAAGCACATCCTTAAAATATCTTGACAACAGGGAACTACCCTTCAACTTTCAACCAAACAGGAGAGAGGAATGACACCAACAAAAACCAATAAAACAATTAAATAAATACAGTTTAGCCAAAGAACCTGCTGCATTGTGTTCTCCGAGAGCCATTTATTATCATATATTTTTTTAAAAATTGCTTGGCAAACTTCAGTCTGTTGAGGGGATGAGGTCCGCCCAAACTCATCAAAACTTATATTGAACCAATCATAGACCTCCTTGTGAATAGCATAGTATCTACAAATTCAGAGAGTTGAGTGTATTAAAAAAATTTATTCAAGGAATGAGCAAGTGTAAGACAAGTGTAAAATGCATATATTTAAAAAAATCACAAGGACAGAAATAGGTCAGATTAACAACTCTAGATATCATGAAATATAGACTTGCAACAGTTCTTGGAGCCGATGCTTTAAATATGACTAAGCTAAGTCATCAAACCTCACCACATAACCAGGAACACGATATTTTACAGTAAGCAAGCAATTATATGTAACTCGGATTAAATGTAAAAAAGAAAAAGAGGAAACAGATACTTGTCACAAATCTCTTTCGGAGAGCAATTTTCTTCCATGGCTTTTGTCTCTGTTGCTGTACCGTACTCATCAGTACCGCAGATGTAAATAATATTGTAACCCCGAAGCCGACAGTACCGAGCAAACACATCGGCACTCAACACACCTGAATCAGAATCAAACCAATACATAAGCTCAGTCATGCACGCACCATAAATATCGAATCAGTCATGGATTTCAATCAGAAACAAGTTCAATTTCAATTTCGTGGAAGAACTAAAATGATGAATATATATATATATATATATGGAGAGAGAGAGAGAGAGAATGGAACTAACATCCAATGATGTTGCCGAGATGAGGAACGTTATTGACGTAAGGCAAGGCACTGGTGATGAGGATGTTGCGTTTTCCTTCCACTGGAAGCTTCGGCTCCGCCATTTCACCTTATCGCCAATTAGAATTTTGTGGCGTTCGGATATTCGTTCGCCGGAGAGATGAAACAGCGCCGCCGCAAAAACCACCGCGAGTGGGAGTGTGTGTGAGAATGAGAATGTGAATATGAAGGAGAGAGCGTAAAGGAAATGAGGCCGCCGGCGCCTATTGTAATGAAACCGACTCGTGTGTGTGAATTGGTAGACACGCGGGGTGACACATAACACAGCACATTCGGGTTAGGGCATAAGATACTTAAGTAAGTTATTTACGATATTAACGACATAAATTTGTAATTTTTTACATATAAAATAGAAAAAATTAACCTTAATCTTTCATTTTTTAAATGTTTTTTATTAATCTTAAATGTTTAAAATTAGTTCTAAAAAGTATACTTAAAAACTAGTTCTAAAAAAGGATATTAATAAATAAATTTATGTAAAATAAAAGATGTTATTAAATAATATCTTAAAAACACTGTTTAAAGAATTTAAAATTTATTAAAAATATTTTTAATTAAAAAATTGTTTTTATTTTCATTGCCTTTTCAAGTCCTTTTAGTTGGACTTTCCAAAAAGATTACATCAATAATATGAAATGTCTAATTACACCAATAAATTAAATGAATATCACGTTATAGTTGGTTAAGCAAATTCGTCCAATGGTGGAATAATTTTTTTAATATATATATTAAAAATTGTCACTTGTAATTTTTAAAAATATATTTAAAAGATATTGTCAGTAGAAATTTTAGAAAAATAATAAAAAATTAAAAAAATAAAAATTTACCAGTGACAATTTTTAAAAAATTGTCAAAAAATTTTATATTTTTATAATTTTTTCTAATATCATATTTTGATACTTTTTTAATTTTTTTTCATATAAAAAAATAACTCTCGGATGATGCATAATTACGTAAAACTCTGAGAATTTATTTAATAGAGACAAGTATGACGCGTGAAATATTTTTTTTTAATAATTCTTTTTTATGTCTTTATTAATTTTATTATAAATTTTAGAAAATAATTTTTAGATTTTTTGTTAATACTTATTTTCACATATATAAAAATTATCTTTATTTCTTCACATTATATAAAAAATATTATTTTAAAATAAATTATATTTTCGTAGTTATAGAGTTAATTTTAAATAAAGAAATTTATTGCTTAAAATAAATATTTATATTTAACTATTTACAAAAATATAAATTTTGTTTTTAATTATCAAGTTATATATATATATATATATATATATATTAAAGTAAAATATTTGTACATTACAAAGTTATTAAACTAGTTTATATTTTAAATTTGAATTTGGTCACAAGTTATAGTCAAATTAAAAAATATGTCTAATGAATTTATTTGAGCAATTAATGCAATTGAATTTTAAAAAATGTGATTGTGTTTCAATTAATGAAAATAATTTATTTGAATTAAAATTATTTAATTTGATCAACTTAAAAATAAAATTTTATTTTTGGAATGACTTTATTTAGTCATTCTTATTTTTTGTTTTAATTTAATTATTTTTATCTATTGCGATTATTTTTTATTGTCAATAATAACTATTTATGAGAAGTTAAAAAAAATTAACTATAAAAAAATGGTTATAATTGATAAAAAAAATTAAACAAAAAAAATAATGAACAAATTAAGAATAATGAAAAGTTAATAAAAGTTTAATAGAAAAATTATAATTACAATTTTATCTGCTATAAGAAAAAGGTTATGGTTTTAAATTTATCACTGCTCTTAAAAAAAATATAATCAAATACATATTAACAAATAATTAAATTGGTTTGATATTGATATGTAGCAGTTGAGATGGTTAATATCCTTACTACAAGATGGTCTAACATTATGTGGCAATAGTACATAATGATTTGAATGTCTCTAAAAATAGTCTTCTCGTATGAAACACTTTAATGTCTAAGTTAGTAGAGATTTAGTCAAAGTTATTGAGAATGTATTTAAACAAAATAGTCTCTATCAAATATATATAAATATTTAGGACTAAAGTAAATTGTCTTTATCTACACCTAATGTTGTAATTATCTCCATAAAAGTAAACCTAACATATATGACATGCCTAATAAGATAGTTAATATGTCAAAGATATTAGAGTTGTCAAATAGTGAAAGTATGTGTGCAACAATTAGTATTTAGAGTATTTGGATCAAGGTGGTTCCAATAATAATATATTCAAAGCATTTAACTAGAGATCATTTAAAATAAGATCGTGATCAATAAATGACCATAGGAAGTTGTCACTCTCATTTTGACTTTAAGCATATCACATATTTAACTTTCAATTACATTTCATAATGTAAAAAAAAAAACATTTAAGTACAAAATTAAAAACATTTTTGCCGTTTGTGATAAAATAAATTTAAAATATTGAATTATTTTTATAACAAAAAAGAAGCTTTTATAGAAAAACTAAAAATTTGAAAGTTTATAATGATTAACTTTTTTATTTATTTTAAATATTATTTAAAAATAATAATTTTTTATTAAATTCTATAATGTCATTTATTTCATCTTAATTGTTTATTTTAAATATAAAAATAATTATTATAAATAATAATAATTTTTAATTTATTATATCTAAAAAATAAAACAAGATATATTATTTGAAAATTACTTTTACATCTCACATATTCAAATGAAACATAAAAATTTATTTCATATATTATTAATTAACTAAAAAACATTATAATGTATGTGAATATCCAAAATTTGTTTATTTTTTTTTAATTCTAAACTTATTTTTATAAAAAGAGAATAAAAATAAAATATTTTTAAAAATTAAAGTTTGCTTTAATAAAATAAGAAAATTTATATTTAACTTCAAAATTGAAAAATAAAATATTGCAAGTAATTAAATTCATTAATCCGTACTTAGCTTTATACATAAAGAAGAAAAAATTAAAAAAATTTGACCTTTTATGAAAACTTTAGAAGCAAAAATCATACCAACAAATAGAGAAAGAAATAACTATAACTATTGAGAGAGGTATCAAAATAAGCTGGATAAAAGTTGGAGAGAAAGCATATTATGAACATAAAGAGAAAAAAAGAAGGAGTGGAGAGAAGGAAGAAGCAAAAGAAAATAATAAAAAAAAGGTTTAAGAACTTTAATTAAATTTGTCATGTATTCTATATTTTTTTTATGTATATTAAAGTACATTCACATTATGAATATAAGTTTCATATAATAAAATTAATATTAGAATATTTAAATAATAAAAAATATGCAAAAAATAAATAAATCACAAATCACCGTTGCGTTCCTTTTTTAATACATTTTAATTTCACCATTAAAATTTTTTTTAATCATTTTCTTTCCTTTTCTTCAATCCACCATTTTTATCTTTGAAAGTTCATTTCCTTAACTCATTTTCGCATACTATTGATTTACAGCTTAATGCCCATTTTTCTTAATATTATATTTCTTCTTCTTTCTCTTTACCTCATATTGTATTTCCTTGGTAATGGGTGCAAATCATCTTGTTCTAGCTATGATAGAATTTGCATTTCAAAAGAAGCTTCTTGGCATAAAAACATTTAATCTTTTTTTTTAGAAAAAAGGAGATGTCAATGTTAAGATAATAAGTATGTTATTTGATAGCACCTCTGTTTCCTTAGATTCCACCTAAATAAAAAGAAAATCCAGTAAATACCTTCCTTTTCTCCTTCAAAGAGTTTTTTTTTTTTTAATTTTTTATGGTAAAGCTCTTAGCATGCATACAAAGAAAAAGACATATTGCAAAGTTTTAATTTTAATAAAAAAAAAAGTGCATGATAAAAATATCACTTTAACGAGACAATGACATGGCATAAAGAAGAACCTTTTGGCAGGGTGGTGTGGTAACAAAGTGAAGGAGAACAAAATGGGTTTTTAAAAAGAAAAAAATTACCAAAAAAAAAAAAGGGTGAAGAAAGAGAAGAGAATAAAGAGAGAGTTGAGAGAAATCCTGCATCTAAATTTTGAATAAAGAAATATAACGTCATAATCATCACTCAATATGAAACACGAATAAAATAAATAAACAATCTATCAATTTAATATTTATTTTATATGGTATTTTTTCTTTTGTGCAAAGGAAAATTTCTTTTAAACATTAGGTTCCATACCTTAATTAAGAGTGGCTATTAGCCACTTTTTATTTATCATAAGAAAAAAACTTTAAAAGTGAAATAAACTCAGCAATACATAATATAAAAAATAACAAGTATAAATCTTAAACAGTGACACTGCGGAGAACAACAGTCTCAACAGTAAGTCCAGGTCCAAAGCCAAACAGCACACCCCATTCAAGTCCTTCGCCAGTAGTTTTAAGCTTACCTTCAATTGATTTCTTCCTCATCTCATCAAGTATGAATATAACACATGCACTTGACATGTTACCATATTCGCTAAGCACATGTCTAGTAGCTCTCATCTTCTCAGGTTTTAAGCCTAACTTAAGTTCAACTTGGTCTAGAATAGCTGGTCCACCAGGATGTGCAATCCAAAATATTGAGTTGTAGTCAGAAATTCCTAATGGTTGAAATGCTTCAACCAAAGCTTTCTCAATATTCTTTGAGATGAGTCCAGGAACATCTCTAAGGAGATGAAATGTTAACCCAACTTCACGAAGGTGGCCATCAATAGCACCTTCACTATCTGGAAGGACTGTTTGTGCAGTCCATACCAATTCAAATAAAGGTTTTTCAATCTCTGGAACTGGATCTGACCCAACAATGAGTGCAGCTGCTCCATCGCCAAACAATGCTTGTCCCACAAGGCTATCTAAGTGAGTATCGGTAGGGCCACGAAATGTGACTGCAGTGATCTCTGAACAAACAACAAGTACACGAGCACCTTTGTTGTTTTCAGCTAAGTCTTTGGCCAAACGAAGCACTGTGCCACCTGCAAAACATCCTTGTTGGTACATCATGAATCGTTTCACATATGGGCGAAGTCCTAGGAGTTTGGTTAGTTGGTAGTCAGCACCAGGCATGTCTACACCACTAGTGGTGCAAAATATTAAGTGGGTAATTTTGGATTTTGGTTGACCCCATTCTTTTATGGCTTTTGTTGCAGCTTCTTTCCCTAATCTTGGTACTTCCACTACTACCATGTCTTGCCTAGCATCAAGGGAAGGTGCCATGTAAGCACAAAGATTTGGGTTCTCCTTTAAGATCTCTTCTGTTAAGTACATGTATCGCTTCTTAATCATGGACTTGTCACCTGAAAAATTTTGTACAGAGAAAAGATAAGTTTGGTAAATTTCAGCATGCTATTTAATTGATAAATAAACTCTCACTTTCTTAGTTTATATATATATATATATATATATATTCTCTTTTGAGGAATAAAATCCCTATGTAAACATTATACATTATTTTATTTATATCCTTTTTCCTTTCTCTTTTTCCACACTTCACCAATGACTTCAATGAAATTTAGGTAATAAAAATATAGATAACATTTCCGTTTAGTTATATAAATTTACTAGCAGTACTAATCTCTTTTTCCTTCTCAAAATACAGAACAGATACTAAACATTTTCACAAGATTACAGCATGAATAAATTAATAAAATATTGAGTTGCCACTTATTGGATGATTGACGGTTTCATAGCCTTAATTCTATGAAAAAAAAAAAACATTAAAACCATAACCGATTATTTTCTATAACTTAACTTGCATGAATCAATCTTAAAATAAACCAGACAATAGGAAATTTGGAAGGTTTATTTCACAGCTAGAGAATATATATATGTATGTATGTATGTTTAGAAGAGTACTTACACATGCGTTTGAATTTCTCTTTAAGTTCGGTCTTGTGCTCGCTATTAGTGATTCTGAAGTAAAAATCAGGGTAAGTGCTTTGATCAACACAGTTTGATGGATTTGCAGTGCCAATGGCCATGATGGTGGCGGGTCCTTCAGCCCTTTGAGCCTTGCGGATCTCTTCTACGCTCACCATCTTTCTAATTAATTGTATCGATAGAGAGAATATTAAGTATATGTTTAATTGAATAATTGGCAGTGCTAACTAGGAAGAGAAATGGGTAATGGGTGAGCTACGAAATTGTTATGGAGAAGGGGGATTTTATATGTTGCAATGCACTATGGGTTTGGAGGGTAGCAATGCATCACGTGCTTTGTTCTTTGACCACAATTGTTTGGTGGGTGGTGGCATGACTATGTAGACCACTTTTCCTTTCTATTATTTTATTTTGGATATTACGCTATGTGTCTATATGCATGTTTTTCTGTGGAATTCTAAGAATTGTGCATTGCATGCATCACAACTTGGTACCAAAATTAGTGCCAATTTGACTTACCTGATCCGTTTAGTTCACTTTTCGATACAATTTATTTTTCAAAAAAATGATCATAAAAGTTATTATATATTTAAACGATATAATTTTATTTAGGTAATCAAAAGCTTTCAAAAAATTAAATATGACAAATTTATCTTAAATGACAAATTTTCATATATAATGTCTTTGGCTTTTGTGAATCAAAACAGGGATTTAGACAATGCGTTTGGTTTCTCTTCCGCACCAATTCTAAGTATGCAAACAAAAATAGTTATAATTCGTTGCACAAATTCTAAGTATGCAAACAAAAATAGTTATAATTAGTTGCCTTTTTGACATACATTACGGCTTTTCCGGAAGAAAAAACGAACACACTGTAATATTAAGATTTTTGTAATATAGATAGCCTTTTGTTGTTTAGGTTTGTGCCATTTTTTTACTGGATTAAGATTTTTTATTTTTTTTAGTTTGTGCTTTTTTTAATAATTTTTATGTTACAATTTTTTTTACTTTAAAAAACTTGAATCTAGAATTTTTGTAGACTTAATTATATTTTTGATCTATGTAAATATTGATCATTTTGCAATAAATTTTTGTAAATTTTTTATTAAAATTTAATTTTTAAAAAGTTAAAAAATTAAAATTTAACCATCAATTTTATCTTGATAAGTGCTAAGCTGGCACCAAGAACGAGAACATAGAGTGCCTTTCTTTTTCCAATTATGCCTCCTGACCGCTTAAGGAGGTTGAACCCCGAAGGAGAGATAGGGTTGAAATATCACCTCACTAACGAAGCCTTTAGCATATATCACATGGGTGGGGCATTCATCCATTGAAAAGGGGCAGACCCTGAACACTATTATTCTGACAACGTCGATCTGGCCATATGGTCCGTAGTGATGATAAATAGAGAAAAAGATCCAACTTCCCTCCTCCAGATTAGACCATTGTGCCAAGAGCACCACGAATGAAATGAACAAGGACTGATTTGGAAAGAAGGTTTGAATACGAACCTAACCTAGAAGGGGCAAGAGATTTGGAAAGAGTACTAGCTAATATTTTTATTTTATTATTTAAAATTATATAATTATAAAAAATTCCTATATACAATTATAATATTTATAAAAAAAAGTCCATTATCCTTGCTCTTCTCTTCTCCCCCTCCCCTCCCCTCTCTCTCTACATGTCATAGAGCTTCAGAAAAGTACATTCCTCAAGTCTTCATCAGATATGCCAAAATTTCAGTCACATTGGAAAGTAAAGCATTATTATGACCAATTTTGCTCAATTCATCTAATGAAAAGGGCAATAATCAAATGAACAATAAAATACTAAGTTTTTTTTTTTAGTTCAAAGAGGAATGTTAAAATGGAAGTGGGAAAATGTTGGCATGAGTTTCATGTAGAATTGAAGTTAAAGGCCCAAAGTGCAAAAGGAAATAAGTTATCATTCTTAAAATTTAAGCTACGTCCTTGATTCTCTATTTTACATACTTTAACAAACTTGATGTCTAGCTTACTTTATTATAGTTTAAAATTTTACACACACTAAGAAAATACTTTGTTTGTTTCAATTCATTCTATATGAACTTTTATTTCACTGGGAATATAGCCAATATGCACTTTTAATATTATTTCAGATTTTCACATACATGACACAGGAAAGATTCACACGAAAGCAGATGGCAGGCAAACAAAAAACAAAAATAATGAAGCAATGAAAACAGAAAAATGATATTTGTAATTTTCAAGGTTACAACATAATTTGTATGATAACAATACTCATTCAAAACTTTGTTAGAATAGGTTTCAAGAAATTTTAACATAAAACTAGATATGAAAAGATATTTTACAAGCAAAATAAAGAATACTGTCAAGCCAGGTACAATTTTTGTTATAAAATTATAAGCTTCAGAGATGCTTAAAAACTTTGCAAGTAAAATATGTTACTTTGTCATGTGCCATTTTCTTTGATATTACTGGTAATCTGGTATAGGAAAGGTGAGCAATATTGCAACATGTTGCCTTGTGACTTATTGGTTATGGGTTCAAATCTTGGAAACAACCTTTCCACTTGTGGAAGGTAAGACTAAGTACATTTATCCTTCTCAAGACCTCACTAGTTTGGAGTGATACACTATGTCAGAATAGAGATATGAGATTAGTTCTGTTTTAAATTAGAGAGCGTTTAGAATTGCTCTAAAATCTTGCGCTATCTGATGTGTTATATTTAAAAGAGCAGTTAAACAACCGCTCTCAAAAGTTAAGATCGGTTCCACGCAAAACCATTCTCCAAAGTATAGGTATAAGATTAGAGAGCGATTCCACGTGGAACCACTCTCCAAAGTATAAATGTAAACCGCGAATCTAAAATTTGAAATTGATTTCTTTTTGAGTTTTTTGTTGCAGAGTAAAATTAATTTATTATTACTTTTAAATCAAATTTTGGAATTGATTTCTTTGTGAGTTTTCTTCATTTTTATCACAAATCAAAATTGAATCTTGAGTTTATATATTTGGTGTTCCATATCTGCATGAACCAAACAGAAAAAAAAAGGAATAAATTAGTAGGATGATTTTTAAAGTTAATAGAGAGAAAAAAGAAAAAAAGAGAGAATGAATGATTCATCGTTAACAAAGAGAAGAAGAAAGAAAGAGAGAATGAAGAAGTACCTATAGATGTGAAAAAAACCAATTTGTTAGTGCAAAAAATATGAAGAGAGCAACAGAGAATGAAGAAGTACTTACAGATATAAAAAAAAAATTAATTGTTAGCGCAAAGAAGATGAAGAGAGTAGGCTAACAGAGAAGGAAGAGGTATCTACAAATGTGGAAAAAAAATTAATTTGTTAGTGAGAGAACACGAAAACAGGCTAACAGAAAAGATGAAGAGAACATAAGAGAGTAGAGAAGACGAACAAAACTTACAGTAAAGGAGACCAACTTTGTTAGCTAAGAAGAAGAAATGTGTTGAGCGTGTTTCATTTATAAACGACTTTAATGACTTTAGAGAGTTGTTCTTTACTAACCGCTCTCCAAGAATGACTTTAGAGAGCGGTTAATAGAGAACTGCTCTCTAAATATATAGTTACAAAATGATTTTTACTAACCGCTGTCTAAGTTAGCGCTCTAAAAACTCATTTCTGGCATAGTGACATATGGTTACCGGTATAGAATCCAGCATCAAAAAATAGTTTGATAATCAAGAAAAGAAAGAATTCGTGTCAACAAAAAAAGGAAAAGCAATATTGTTTCTAAGCTTTAGAATTTAGACCCACACCTTTAATAATTCTTCTTTAATACAAGATACTCATTATTTTTTCAGGTTTGGATTCTTTCATTTTATAGAATAATATTATAGGCTTAAGCTAGAGAAATGTAATTTGAATTAAATTTAATTAGTAGACATTACAACCAATTATAGTGGATCCTTATTTAATAAAAAGTATTTTTTTTCCTACAATAAGAACATATAATATTAGTTAGCATAAAGATTGTAATGCCCCAAATTTTGGTAATATTAATTATTATTATTCTTATATATATATATATATATATATATATATATATATATATTCATATGTGTGTTGATTTATTTGAAAATGATATTTTATGTGTATTAAGTACATGAATGTGTGTATATATGTATGTATAACTGAATAGGTTGAAAATGGCTAAGTGCCTAAGTGCGGAGCGTAACACTAGGTTGTTATCGCTGTAGCGAGAGGGCCCTGGGAGGAAGGAACTGTCGCCTTCTCACTGTAGCGAGAGACGTCTCGCTGTAGCGACAGAGCGATAATTTAGGGTGCAATTCTGGGTGCAATCTTGCTGTAGCGAGATTCTGCAGAAACCAGAATACAATTTTCTCTAGTTTTTTCGTTGTAGTGAGAGGGCGTGTCGCTGCAGCGAGGGGACCTCTTCATAGCGATAGTGTCGCAACCAGAAAATGATATAAAGGGGGTTAGGGTTTAGGGAGAGTTATTTCTCCCTCTCCCTTCGAAATTCCTTTGATCCTTTGGTTCCTAAAGCCCTATTCCACTGATTAATTGCCTCCAAAGCCGTTTAAGAGCTTGATTGAAGGTTAAATCCGTGTGGGGAATGCTTGGAGGTGAGTTTTAATGGTTAGGGTTTCGTTTCTCCTCTCCAATTCTCTGTTTCTCGATTTCTTGGGGTTCTCATGAAGTTCTTCCATGTGTTTTAAGCCGCAATCTGTGTAGTGAGCACGTCCATGGTCGAACCTGAGTGTGGGCCTTCAATCTGAGGTAAGGGGGGACTCTATCCTACTTTTTTGTGCATGAATTGTTGTTATTTTGCTTGATATTGTGTTGTGGCTGAGTTAGTGGGTAGGAAATTGCTGAGAAATGTAATATGGGCCATGTGCTGTGATGTGTGAACATTATGTGTGTTGACCCGAACTTGATGGATATGGATTGTATGTAAATGTGGTGTAATATAGATGAATATTGGCTATGTGCCATGTAATGTGAAATGAATGTTGGCCTAGTGCCGTGTATTTGAATGCAATGTGGGCTGTGTGCCGTATATTTGAATGAATATTTTGAAAATGTGGGCCCAAGGGCCGTGTAATATGAACGATAATTGTAGGCTGTGTGCCATATGTAAGCATGATTACTGCATGCGTGAATGGAATATGTGTGAAT